TATTGCAGGGACTCCAGAGACTCTGCAGATAGAGGCCGGGGCCCCCATGTCACACCTGGTGAGAGGTAGGGGGCTGTTAAAGTACCTCCAAGGAGGCTGCTGACTTCAGCAACAGCAGTGTCAGTGTTGGGCACCCCTTCATACTGGAAAAAGCAGCAGCTTTTGGCCTTTTTGGCTTTGCACAGGCCTGGCTGGCTGAGGTGGGAAGCAAAGGTGCAGCTGCAAGACCAGAAAGCTTCAGAGGCTGCCACACAGGACTGGAACAAGCTGGGCAGTGACTAAACCCCACACCTGTGATGCACCACCCCACAGCCTCCCTTTCAAGCACAGAAATAAATCAACAGATAACATGCAAATTCTACTCACTTGCCACTTTTGGGTCGACATACATGATTCACTTATCTTCATAGGATGCTGGTGGTGAGGGGCCCAGCACAGCACTGCTACCAGCAGCAGATGATGGCAGCAAACCTCACCATGAGCTGCAGAGGTGCTTGGCAGAGACAGCCCAGGTAAACATGAACCCAGCACCATCCATCAGCACAACAGCTCCGGCTGAGGAGACAGAGCTACATTTGCATTTATACTCTAACCTGTTCTCCCAAAGGACAACATCAGGATGTTTGACTAGATGTTACAAATTACTTGGAAAAAAAGGTGCCTGGATGCAGATAGCAATTATAGTGTGTTGATTGTTTTGGCTCTTTCTGCAGTGAAACAAAATACTAGCTCACACCAAGGGAATGAGATGCTGCCAGGGGGAGAAACTCCTGCATGGTTCTCTAGGAGCTGGAGGTTTTAAGTGTGTTGTGTGTGGGCAATCATGGCCATACTAGAAGGAAATTTTTTGTCAAAAATCAACCAGGATTAATCACTAAGGTCACAGAAAATGAGAGGGGAAGCACGAAACAGAGGATGAAGCAGCACCCAGAGATACTTGTATCCTAGGGTGAGCTTTACATTTGATCTGGCCCAATACCACCCACAGGCAGCCGGGGGCAGCCCTGCTCCCCTGGGAGCACCCTCCGTTAGACTGTATGGCACTCGAGCAGAGATGGCCCAGGGGGAGAGCTGGTAAAAGGCAGAGCTTTATTAGTAATCACAGGGCGTTTGCAGAAGCCTATGGCTGCTTGCTTTCAGCCTTAGCCTGACCCTGTGATTAGGGATGCACTGATCATTTGCTTATTAAGGCCTGAAAACAGAGGGCAGAAATTACTCAGCTCCTCTTCACAGTCAGCAGGTGTTCATATGAGCTTTTAGATTATAGAGCAGACACAATAACTACTTTAGTGAGATTTTCCAGGTGCATTACAGGCTTTAGAACATATCCTGCATAACTGGAATGAACCAAAGTTTACATTTCCTTTTTGTTTAGATATTAAACAGAAGTTCATTGAACCATTTCTTCCTTTCATGCAGGGAGACCTTTAAAGCCATGTACTCAAGTGCAGGCTTAAGATGACCTGTAAAGTCTGGTAACCATAATCAGTTCTTGTGAGAGAAAAGGTGTAAGCCTCCTTCCACCCCTGGATTAAGACCAAGACCCAGGGAGGGTGGGATTTTTAGACCAAACCATGTCCTCCTGCTTTCTATTACCTAATCTGATGGTGGCTGTTTTGGATTCTATTTTAAGATCATTCCCTTAGACTATCTTCACTTCTGAAAGGAGCTGTCTCTCTGAAGATAACTTGTGTGTCAATCCATCTCCCAGCACAATCTCAGTGCTCAAATTCTGGAAACGAGTTTCTATCTGTATCAAAATACACTTCCTGGAACACTTCAAAAATGGTGCTTATGTAATGTTTTGAATTTCTAGGTCTGTAACATTCAACGCTTATTATCTAAATTGTGAATGTTCTGTAAAGCAGCACACACAACCATTTTAATGACCTTGATGTACTCTCTAATAAAAAAAAACCAAAACCTTTTTTCATATCCCTCAGTGAAAAAAATGGAAAATAAGAGCTCAAATTTACCTCTTAACCAATTCCAAGTCAGTTCCCTAATGTGACCATAATATTAGAATAAAACATGTAAGCCAAGGATAATGCTATGCTCAATAGTTTATTTATATTTTTATGTAAACATAATTTGCTTTGTAGGCACAATATAACAAAAGCTCTAAAGCAACAAATACAATTAAACAGTGTTTCAGTTCACTTCAATCAGGCTTAAGTTAAAGAGAAGCTTTCACAGTTCCTTTAAGGCAAATTGAGAAATAATTTGTTTCACTTGAAGAAACTATCCAATTGTCTAAGAGCTGTTTGAACAACACTGTCAGTAGTTAGCACAAACCTCCGTTTCTGCTGCAGCAAGACTTGGTCAGGAACAAGTCTCAGCATCATCACTTTGTATAGCACGCCCTCTGCCACCTCAGGTGCCGTACTACTGTTTGTGGTATTCTAAGAATTACTTTGGGCTTGGGGGCCAAATTCTGCTAGCACAAATCCTGCTTCCAGAACAGATACCTGAAAAATTTCCATTCGTTTCAGTAGTAACCTTCGTATGGGCCGTGTTAATACCAGTAAAACACAGAGTAGAGTTTAGCTTGCTGATGGCAATACTTGTCTGTGTTGCACTCAGGAAGATCCAGAAATATTCCTTTCTACTCACTGCAATGACCTGATATTCTGCTGATCAGAAAATGGCCCTAAAATTGGTATGAAATAGCATGAGGAGTATTTTTGCCTTGCTAACAAAACCAGAAAGAACTAGCCAAAATTATTTCCTTTGATTGTTGTCCCTGTGGTGTCTGTGGCCATGACCAAGATCACCCATCTTTATTCATCTCGAAGGGTAATTTAACTGTAGAGCCAACCATACTGCAGTTTAAAACAGAAGAACAGATTTGCTATTCTGCTTGCCCTACTAATTTAAGGCCTTGAGAATGCCACGTTACTGCCAGCTCGAAGGTCACCAGCAATATTGCTCACTTTGGCGTCAAATCAAAGTTCCTAGTTATGTTAAGGTTTGTTGCAGGACAACAACATTACACTAACTGCAAAACAAAATTGGGCACGTTTCCTACCAATGTCAGCTTATGAGTCATGAAAACTTAATGGCCTTTCTTAAAAGCCCAACTGGCAAGCCCAATACATGGAAAACTCTCACTGAATATATATTTTGTCTGTGGATAGAGTCCCTGTTTGGGCCTCATAATGGCACTGGAAGTGTAGGCAAATACTGCTGGAAAAGAAAGCCAACTATGGTGAAGTTGAGCATCAACATCTAGAGGAAACTAGATTCAGTTAATATTTCAAAAGCTTTTTTGGCATTTTTCTCCACAGTTATTTCTTCTCATTGTTTTGGAATTATTTTAACCCAAGGGAAACTCTGTTAGAATGAACTTTCTGCACAATTATCTGGTATTACAACAGCAACTTCATGAGTGTAAAGGGATGGCCATTAACACTCAGGCAGCAAGATGAAACAAACAGAAAAACCAAAAGTGAATCTTCTAAAACCACACATAAAAGTCATCCAGACCCACAAGTCCTTTCACATTGAGAAAAGCCTGAGAAGCCCTCCCTCTTCACTTCTCTATGTTAGCTTTTACTTTCTATCTCTACAAGGTACTTTTAGATTTAAGTGAACAACTAGCCATGCCTGGGGAAATACTTTCTTTTGAAAAAAATATATTAATTTAAAGATATATGGCATTATGCAAAGTCTCTGACATTCCTTTAGCATTTCTACTGTAGGTGTTTGCAGTACTTTTACAATAATCATTTTAACAAAACAACTGAGGACCTGAGTTAACTGCTGCTTGGATAGGTGAAAGACATGGAAAAAATACTTACTTTTGTCATATTTAGCTATAGTTTCCACTAGTGGGAGGTAGATAAGACTAGCTGGTCTCTGAATACTTGATCCTGCAAATAATTACAAACATAACCATACATGTGGAGCAGAGCTCTTGATAGAACTACTCGCCTAGACAAAGTTACCCCTGTGCATGATTTCTGATGGAGTTAAGGCCTAAAAGTCATTTTTAACAGGGTGAACTTTTGTTGGAGTTCAGCTCCAGCTTGACAGTTGATCAGCACATTAGCGATTTCAGAGCAGAAAACTCCAGCCACAAATTTCTTTCCACATACTGATGAGTGATCCTTATCAATATGATTTAAAAATGAAATTTAAAATTGATTTTGATTTTGGACACAGGTGAGTCAATGTGTCCTCAGCAGAAGATGTTGATCTGTCAGTAACAATGCTAATTGCTATAGGAATTAAAGTTCTGGGTCTAAAAAGAGTGGCTCACTGACCTTGTTGTTTGCCTGTAACATACAGGGAAATAGCTCAGGTCAACAGGAAGTGTGGGGGTTGGCACTCTGAGTGTTTAATTACTGCTGCTGCTTACTAACATGATTATACAACAGTAACTGAAGTCTCTCAAGTAATGATTTCTTGCACAGTTTCAGATTCCAGAATTCCAAATGAGGTATTTTTGAAAATGAAGATAGGATTACTTATAAAATGATAAAGCATGACTGAGGAAAATGAAAAGTCATCCTTTTTTTGCAACTTTTATCTGTGGTTCATAAAAGGAAAATCCACAAACTTAAAATCCTCCCTCCAGTTACTAATATCTTCCAGACAGCAAGTGGGGAATGTTTTTTGTTACTGTTTCCAACTTGCAAAAAAAACAACACCCCCCCCCCCCCCCCCCAAAGACTTTATGCAGAATGTTGGAATTATCATGAGAAAGATGCCCATCTAAAATTACACAGTAACTTAATGAGACTTTTAAACCAGAACAGAAAAATCCATGGGACTCCTACAGGGCAATCGGGTGTTACACAGGAATGTCATAATACTGCACTGGATGAGAATGGCACTTGAGTTCAAAACAACAATGATCAACAGCTCATAGCTCAGCTGACTGCAGACAAATACAACACACACTGTACTACAGCATTTGTTCACTGATGCACAGAAGAGATTTCCCAGTCTTGCTCCCTTCGACCTCATCAGTCTTCCTGCTCCCTCGGCTCCGGCCGTTACTGGATGAAGGGCATGCGCTCTTTGTTCTCATTGTCCCCTTCGTGGTCTTCCTCCTCTTCTCCAGCCTCGCTTGTCTCTGTGCTGTCGTTGGCCATCTGTAGGATGAAGGACATCAGAGCACCTTTCACATTGCTTTATTCGTTCCTATTTCAGTTTGATTCATGTGGTAAAGTGACTTGAAAACTGAAAGAAGACACGGCTGCAACAGGGAGATAAACACCCTGTCCGTGCAAAGCCTTTGCTGGCACCACACTGCTCCCCACTGGCCTTGCAAGCTGCTCCCTCCTGGCTTACAGCTGAGTTAGGTGACAGAAAGCACCCCTGTCACACGGGGGCACTGGGTAGGGACTTCACAGAACGTGTGAGAGCTCTGGTTTACCACTCCTCCTGTATCTGCTCTTCCAGAACAGGTAATGCTATTCTTTAATGGCAGCTAATGGACGGGATCTGGTCCCACGTGAGGCGCAGTGCCATGAAAACTCAGAAAGCAACAGTTTTATCTCTGTACAGCAGTGGATATGCAGATGCTGGCAGAATATACCCATGAGAGAGTGCAAATCTTGGCTCCCACAGAAGTGGGAAGAAACTGCATTACTGTATTTTATTGAAAATGCCTGTACAGGTAGTAGGCAACTGCAGACATTTGTAGTTCGGCATTGGATTTAAGGAACACATCAGGGTGTTTTTTCACATGGGAGTATTTATTACAACTTGTGTAAAGGTGCAAAACTCTCTTGTACTTCCCCTTGTCATTTTGACTTACCTGTGGAAGCACAACAAGAGTCTGTTTAACTGGGCAGGTGGTAATGTTATACAACATAGGTTAGCATGGCTGAATTCTCTTCTACATCAACATTCTCTCTCTTAGGACTGAAGAAGATTCTTGCATTAAATCAGACTCACAGAATGCTTTGGGTTGGAAGGGACCTTTAAAGATCACCTAGTCCAACCCCCCTGCAGTGAGCAGGGACATCTTTAACCAGACCAGGTTGCTCAGAGCCCCATTAACCTGACTTTGAATGTGGCCGTACACCACGTATGTGGTGCTGTGCACTCACCAGGGGAGTGGGGGCCTTCTCCACGTCCAGAATTAGTTTTCCTATATTTCCTCGGTCATGGATCCTCTGCATGGCCTCCTTCACCTGAAAGAAAGAGAACCTCTTGGTAATTTCCAGGCACACACTAAGAAAGAGAATCCCAAATTCCTTCCTTCCAAAACCAGCCACATATTTAAGGCATACTATGTGCAAGGTCATTCAAACATCTGCTGGAAAGAAAATGAATAGTTAAACTTTTTTTCAGTGAATTTGTATGGCCAGATTTTTATGTTGTGTGTGCCAAAATGGGACCCATGTCTTGATGGCAGTTCCTGAGTAGCAGGATAGGTGCACGAGGCTAACGCTGGACCCGAGCAACAGGCACCTGAGGTGCAGGGAGAAACACAGGCTCTGGGACTTGGTGCCTACAGGTTGTTCACTAGATTTTGTATTTGCAGAGTGTTTATCAAGAAACCCTGCTTTCATCAAAGGATGAAATGTTTTCCTAATTGATCCATGGTACTTTAGAGTCAATTTCTTCTGCACTCCTATAGAAGGAATGCTGCATCTGGGCAGTGGCTGTGATTAGTGCAGTACTGTGGTTCTCACTACATAAGTATTTCTTTCCTTCTTTTAGCCACTTTTTTTTTCTCTTTTTTATTTTAACTCAGTAGTCCCCTACAGATACTACTAAGACTAGACATTTAACAACTGGCTGCAACTAGCACAAGTGAGAAAGGAACAAAAACCTCTTCTCACTAGTGCACTGGAGAGGAGCTTATTTTGATGTCTGAAGGAAGTTTCAGAACTCCTCAGAGCTCAGTGTTGATGAATTGAAATTGTGTGTGTGCTGGACTGAATGCCCAATATGCAGCATGCAGACCACGATCAGATCACTGAAAATGGGAAGATGTCAAGTTTCCTCACTTTCATCATGGGAAACTTCAGGAACTGAAAATGGACACATAAAGGCTGTTTCATATCCTCATCACACCATTTTTTTTCAGGCATAACAGGACATGTTGAGACAATAAAGAGTTTTATGTTAATAGGATCTACCATCTGTGACATAGTTTTATTGAATATTGTAAAAATAATGGCATAGAAGTTTGAAACAATATGCTGACCTGGCAACAGGTGGGTCCCACAGCATATTTAAAAGCCTGAGCTGGGGTCCACGTACCTAAGATAATTGCTGAATGTCTACTACAGAAGGAAGCATGAGATTTTTAAAGATACTAAGCAAATACAGCTTTCAACTTCTAATTAAATGTAATGGATGCTGGGCACAAAATGTCTTCGCCATCTGTCCGCCTTGTTTTGAAAGCTGACTGCAGTGAACTCAATATTACAACCTTAAGCTTGCAAAGTGGTTCCCTCATTTAGTAAATACCAGACTTAACAAAAAATGTGTTAGAACAAAAGAAAAATAGCACTGCAAAACACAATGACTTTCTAACTTAGGGCATAATTGTAAATTAACCTTGGAAAACATATCTTTGTAAATCCCACTGGAAAGTGAGTTGACCTCTAAATGTAGCCTGCAAAATCACAGTAAATTTCATGAAGTCACTCTACAGCATAAGCAATACCTAATTATTCTGTAAGACTTGTTCTGCACTATGGACAACATTCCTTTAAGAATATTCAACAAAGACTCTGAAGAAGCAGCGGCTGTATTATTCTTTTATTACTCTTATTAGCCAAATCAAGCTTTTCAGAGTCTACAGCATGGCTTAGATAACCAACCTAGACATGACAGAGCTGGAGAAGTCAGCAAACACACTTGCCCGTCCATTGAAATTGATTACCAGAACATCATGTGGAAAGCAGGGTATGCAACATTTATTTCAATTTGTACCATATCATATTAAGCAAGGCAAATTTGAGAAAATGTGCTTTCCCTGCATTTTTCATATGCACAGTATCAACTTTAAGACTCTGGAGAAAGGTTCAAGAATTGTTTCCAAGACACTTTTAAGTAGCCTGCAAATGCAAGCAGCAGGCAGAGGCAAAGGGAACAATAAAACTCAGAGCAGTAAGAGTGGCTATGGAATCCAGATGGAGATATTAAACCTATAAAACATTTTGGAAAAAGTATTTTGAAGAGCTGATACAACATCTGTATATTTTAGTGTCATTTGCAGCTTACCTACCAGCTAGTCAAATTCTGTACTAGTGCCACACCCTCCAGTACAGTACGTCTGAGTTAGGAGAGCACGAGCTATTTAATACATCAGTAAATTTTACATTTATGGTTGCTAACAGTCCACTTATTCAAGCAAGACTGCAACCACTTGTTCCCCAAGGTGCCTGAGTACTGAAACCATTCCCTCTTACACTAGAGGGCAGAGAGCATCACAGCCTGCCCTGGCTAAGCCAGTGTGGGTAAGGCTTCAGTTGTTCTATGCAGACTGTAGGACAGCATTTACTGTCTCATGTGAGCATTGACGTGCTGTGTGGAGTCTGCCTCTGGCCCAGTGTGGCTGAGGCTGTGCCTGAGTGTTTGCACGTTCCCAGTGAAGACAGTGAATCTCTCTGCACTTGGTCAAAATCAGACCCAGGCTTAGCTGGTAGTACAGCAAAGGCACAAAGACATCTTGGAATTTACTGGACGTTCTCTGAAGTGGTTGGAGTTTGATTCAAAATAAATATCCCTTCCAGAGCAAGGATCAAAAGTGTTTCCCTCTTTGTACAGAATTGTGTCCCTAAATTGATTTTTCACCAATTCTTCTATATTCGTTGCTATTTGCATCTGTCAACTCAAATTCAAGTAAAATGTGCTTTTGTTTATATGCACGAGCTAATTGAATTTCTTCTGGTGCAGGATCTGCAGCAGAGGGCTCTTGGATTGGAAACAGTGCAAAGGAGTGTTTACTAATATTAAGAGTTTCCACTGGAATAAAGGACAATTCTGTTGGCCTGTGCTTTCAGTATAGCTCAGCTCTTAGAGGGTTTGTGTCTAAACTAATGCTGATTAGCCTTGAGAGCCCCACAATTGGCACAGCATCACAGAGCTCTGCACTGGAATCAGAACTCTTTTTACACATTAGTGGACAACTGGGAAATGCTTCCACTTTCCATGTTATTTATGTAAGGAAAGCTGGCAAAGCAGTTACTGGAAAACAAGAAAAATCCAGAGTGCCACCCAGCCAAGCACTGCCCGATGAACCCAACATTAGCACTCCGAGGCTGCACTAGAGGAAAGAGATTACTAGCAAGGGAGAAATAACAGGAATCCCAAATTTGACTTCTCCCTCAAGCACACTTGCATTAATTCATATTTTAGTTTGATGTTTTCAAGCATACTCTGGAGTAGATTCATCTTCCTCTATCAGTTCAGTCTAGTGGAAAATGATAAACAGAAGAAAAGGACCTTTCTAACTCAGTTTGATACAATTTGCATTTGCTTTAGGGAATATGCTTTTAGTACTGGAGAAACCACTTTGGAGAAGTCTATTTCTTCCATCCCTTTCACCCCTACAGAAGGTACAGTCATGGATACATTATCACATATCCTCGTTCCAGTGTTTTTCAGCAATGACAGTGGATCTGGAAATTGAGACAACCTATTCAATAATGAGGTCATCTGTAAAACAAAAAACATGGTCTAGAAGGACAAAACTGCAGGACTGCAAGGTCCTTTACAAGTCATGCTTACCATGCCCTGTGAGAAACACTCAAATTCTCATTTTCCATCATAACTCCCAAAGGCTGCAGATTTTCTGAAACTTCTAGGAGCTCCACCCTCATACCACTCTGCTGGACCCAAGCAGAGAGGCATGAAATTTAAATATATAGAGCTTAATTGGGAACATACAGAACAGTTGCACTGCATTAGCATTGTAGGCAAGATTTAGCAGCTTTAACGTTTCTTAGAAAATTTTAATCTATTAACACACACTTGCACAGTTAAAAAGGTGTTATGCTGCCAGTGCTACCAACAGAATTCTTCAAAGAAGCCTTGATACAAACACAGGATTAAAAAAACACACAGCTGGCAAAGAAGGCCTCTTGTGAAAAAGCCTGTTCAAGTGTATTTTCCTGAGGGGATGTTATGGTCAGGGTCTCAGAGCTTCTCTTGGATCAGAGCCATTTCTGTCCCATATCTATTGTGTATCATACTGAGAAGAGCAACAATTACTGTCAATAGACCCTGGTAGGAGAGCAGGAGCCAAAATGCCTTCATGTTACCAGCCAAAGACTGTTCTAAAAGAAGGTTCACAGCAGCTGTGTTCTCTGAAGTAGGGTTTGACAGAATCCGCTCCTATACCACTGCAGCGTCTCTCCTGAGGTACTCCTCAGAAATATCAAGAATCTTGGCTATTGTGTCCTCTTTAAATTTTCTTATTCTGCTTCAAATAGACTCATCTTCTCCAGCCTCAAATCTGTTCAAAATCAAGCCAAGGTACTTATCTTAAGCACCAATGGTAATTTTCAGAATATCGTTCAAGAATTTCATCTCCTACCAGACTAGATTTTCTCTGCCTTCAAAAACAAGCTGTAGCAACAAGGCCTCCCTCTAGTAAACTTTATACAGGTAAATTTTTCAAAAAGTTAGTACTTTTAAAAGTCTGCATACAGAAAAAAACAGAAAAGAAAAAGCCAGTTACCCAGACACAGTGGGCTGTCGATGCCAGAGGCAGATATTTGTCTTGTCTTCATACTTTCTAACACTTGAGCTCTACAGGCTTCCAAAGACAATGCAAGTAATGACATACAGTAAAAAACAGGATTTGGGAAATTTTAAGTCTCAATAAGTCTGGAATTCCATGTGGGATTTTTAAAACCTGAACTGAGAAAGCTCAATACTTGCTCCTCCCAGTGAGAACTTTGACAATATCTGGCTGTGCCAGTAGTTATTTGCAAATTCAGAAATGATGCCATGCTTGGCATAATGGCATTCATCATTCTGCTCAACCTTCCTTCACTGACTAAAAAGTTATAATTACTGCATGTTGTAATATTTCCCAGTTTATACAAAAGCAACACAAACAAATCAACAGAAAAATCTCAGTACATCTCTAGACAGGTGTATGTATTTTGGGGTATTCTGCTTGTGGGTTTTGGATGAGCGTTTATTTCTGTGCTTTGTGATGGCAAAA